TCGCCGGCGCACAGCCGGCTCCGCCCACCGGGGCCCGGCCCACCGACGGCGCGACGTTCCCAGGTTCCAGACGGAGTGCGCGCGCAGCCGAGCCTCTGCGTTCTGCGCCTGCGCAAAGTGTGTGCTGCCAGAGACGTGCAGAAAGGGCTTCCCCAATGGATGGCGCATCGCAGAGAGGCAGTGACTGTCTCCCAATCCTGGCAACTATCTGCCTCCACAGATTTAACAAGCATTTAAAGGACTTTAAAGATCATTGGCCTGACCTTAGACCACCGCCTAAAATCACCGTCGCAAACCAAATTTTAAGCATTTTCTGGTTAGCCTAGTACGTTATCACTTTTCCGATTTACCCCGAGATGACTTGACATCACACCCCCGGACCAAAAGATAGTGAAATCCCTTTCACCAAAGCCTTCCCTTTCCCCCCTCTTAGCCCAAGAGATAAAATACAGATTAACCAGCGGGCTAGCTAGCCCTGGAGACCCTCTGTGGTGTGACCTGCACCCTGAGGTTTTTACACCACTCAGAACGGCAAAACACCTTCTCCGCCCCATCTCCTCCTCGCCTCCAGTACCCCTTACAGTTTCCTGTACCATTCCTCTTTGGTTATCAGTACAGTCTGATCTTTCCCGCTTGAGGCAGATCACGTTTCCACATCGGTATTTGACATGAGGGAGATGGTAGCTGACACACTACCCAAACTGTCGAGGGAGCTGACCTGACCACAGGCTCCAGGGAGCAACTGTTGAGGATTATCAACACGTCTGTGTCTCCTTCCAGAGATATCAACCGCAGAAAAGCAAGGATGTTTGCTCCAAATATGTAGCGCTAAGGGGAAAATCAGTCTATTTCCATTACAAGGTCTTGTTTTTCAACTTATGTATGTTTTGGCCGGAAGCATCACCTCAGCTCCCTAACATCCCTTTATACAAAAAGTCTGGATTGTTTGCCTGGGGGCTTCACCCCAGCTCCTAGCATAAGCTCCCTCCCCTGGGAGTTGCCTCAGTCAAAACTCCACCTCCAAACGCCCGCTAAACGGTAACCCCTCCCCAGGGAAGGTCGAGACCACCCCTACAGTCTATTTAAACTGCCCCCCAAAGAATGAACACATAGTCTCCTGATTTCACTTGGTCTCCCCTTCTTTCTCTCTTCCCCTCTCCATGTTTCCCCCGGGACTCCCGGAAGCACTCCATTAATCATGGGCATCTTTAATTTAGTCTGATTGGGTCTGATTGGGATTATTTACGTCGGCGGAGGAGAAGGGGGCTCGTCTAAGAGAAAATTCTTAACAGTGTTTGCATAAAACCAAGTTTTTTGTGAACCAGAGAGATGGTTTGCCCGTCATGCCAGCCTGACAACCTGAATTCCATCCCCAAATCCATGGTGGGTTGTAGATGTGCGTGTGTGTCTGTGTGTGTCTATGACTTTTCTTCTTAGATATTAAATCTTAAATTCTTTCGGTTTTTTAGTATATATGATCACAAATTGAGTTCAGGTGTGGTGGCACATGCTTGTAGTTCCAACATTATAGAGGCTGAAATGGCAGGATCCTTCGGGATTGAGGTCAACCTATGATATATAACAAGTTCCAGGCTGGCCTTAGTTGAATAGTAAGATCCCGTATCAAAAGAACACAATTTTTGGGGACTGGAGAGATGGCTAAACAGCTAATAGCTCTGCTCTTGCAGGGGACCAAGTGTCAATTCCCAGTAGCCACATGGTGGCTCATAGCTGTCTGTAACTCCAGTCCTAGATGATGCCTTCAGATCTCTGTGAGTTCCATGCATCCATGTGGTGCACAGACATGCAAGCTGGCAAACACCCATTTTCATAAAAATAAATTTAAGACAAAGATGAGATAATTGTAACACAGAATTACTTGCACTGTGGCCGAGGTAGCAGTGGAAAAGGTGTCATAGTTGCGCTTGAGGAAGTAGGGGAAGGTTTCAGACAAAAGGCATGATACCTGAATCTTCTGTTGCTGTATGACAAGTTCCATAGACTGCCAGAGGTGGTATTATATACCTGCATCCAACTACTCAAGGAGAGTTCAAAGCCAGTCAGGGTGACATAGAGAGATCACATTTTAAAAGAGAGAGAGAGGGAAAGAGAGAGAATAAAAAAGAAAAATGTAGATGGAAGTTTCTGTCCCACCCAGTCCTGCAGCCGTGTAGTCCCAAAGAAACACACAGAGGCTTATAGTAATTATAAACTGTTTGGTCCATTAGCTCAGGTTTATTATTAACTTGCTCTTACAACTTAAATTAACCCATAATTCTTGTCTATGTTTAGTCACGTGGCTTGGCACCTTTTCTCAGTGAGGCATTCTCATTTTGCTTCCTCTGTGCCTGGCTGGTGACTTTGTCTCTGCCTTTCTTCTTCCCAGAATTCTCCTAGTCTGGTTGCCCCACCTATAATTCCTGCCTGGCTTCTGGTTACTCAGCATTTTACTAGACCAATATGAGTGACAATTTTTTACAGTATACAAGAGCATTATCCCACAACAAGAAAAAAACAAATTTGATGACTTCATTTAATACCTGTTATTTAGCTCACAGCGTTGAGGTGAGAATTTTCCACCAAGAGTGTCCCAATTGCTCGTCAAGATATCACAGGCTAAAATTAAGAGATCAACTGGACTGAATTCTCATTTGAAAGTCTTGCAGAAAGTCTGCATCCCTTATGAACACTATGGGCAGGATTCAGTTCCTTGTGGTTCCAGATGGAGACCCTCATTTCCTGGGATTTCTTTTGGCTCCATGAAGTCACTTGCATTCCTATTGCCTCTACCCTAGCTACCAACAGAGAATGCTGTGTGTTGAATCTCTTCCTGACTTCCTCTTTTGCTACAAAGCAATAGAAACTGTATGCCTTGCCTTTTTCTCTGTTACTGTGATAAACTATCATGACCGAGGCAACTTAAGAAAGGAAAAGTTTATTTGGGCTTACCGCTCCAGGGGGATGAGTTCACCCCATCACAGACAGCAAGCATGGCAGCATGGGAGGCCTGGAGGCTGGGGCAGCAACTGAGAGCTCACACCTTAAACTGCAAGCGGGAAGCAGACACAACAACTTCAAATGCTTGAGTCTTTCAACTCTCAAACCCTCTCCCAGTGACACAGGTCTCCCAACAAGGCCACATCTCTCAGGCCTCCTCAAACACCACCAAACTGGGAACCAAAAGTTCAAAGGCCGGAACCTATGGAGGACATTCTCATTCAAACCACTCCACTGTGCTTTTAAAGTGTTAATATATCTGGGGGTGTGGTTGATGGATAAAGCCCTGGCCGCCAGTGTTGCTAAACAATAATAAAATTGTAAACAGGGTTTTTATAATTAGGCTATGCTTATCTAAATAACATTTTATTAAAGACAAGTTAGTCACCGAACTTCCTCAGATGACTATGCATTATACTCATGTTACTAAGGGTGAGATGGGGTAAGTACACCAGTAGACAGGATCTTCAGATTCTGTCCTGGGAATGGCAGACTCTGGATTTGGGGAGACTGACTAGGACTCACACATACTATGATGGTTAAATGACCTAGAGCAAATTTATCGCGATTTTTCCCAGAGCAGGTAATGCCTGCTCTATTGTCACAAAATGTTAGTAGGGTGAAGCTTATTTTCAAACAAACAAAAAACTACAGTGCTTCCTAGAAGGAGACTTGCCCACAGTTATTTTAACCTAAAAATCAAATAATTTAAATAATCAAATAAATTAAACTTAAATTAATATTTACAGTGTTTCTCTCTCCCTCTCTAGAAGCTGTCTGAGAGGGACTGCTCACTGTGACTCCAGCCACTTCACCAACTATCAAAGTGCCTGAAAAGCAGACCCTGGTTCTTTGTTGAGTTCAGCCTCTCAGGAAAGCAGGAAAAATGAACAGGAGCCCAGTAGATAGATGTTCACCCATCAGGAAGCTCTGATGTGCATTGATGTAGACACACCCCCTTCTCTGTCTCCTCTGGATCCTCACATAGGCTAATAACTCTTGTCTTTACTTCCCTCTCACACCTTTTTCCAGATACCAGACCAGGACTTCCTTTTCTCTCCACATCTGACAGTGTAGATACACCCTCTGGAGAGATATCCCAACTGCCACACTAAACACCCCAAATTCACCTGGAAGAAGCCACATCAGCTGTTCTCCAGTTCTCCAATGACTCTTACAGGGCAGAAGAAGAAGAGGCAGAAATTGGCTAGGCAATTTTGACAGTTCAAGTAAAGTAGCCATTTTCTTTGTTAGCCAAAAGCCAAAACTTTTCTTAGGTGTCCTGGCAATCTCATTCTTGCTAGAGACCAGATATACCAAAAGTGCTTTGGGGTCCCAGGTCTCTGATGTGGTTCTTTAATGTCTCTAAAGCCATCTTAGACCATCACTTACCATAGCAACAATTTACGCCGGGGCTGGTGAGGTAGCTTAGAGGTTAGGAGAACTGGCCCCTTTTCTGGGGTTCAGCTCCTAGTATTCACATGGCAGCTCACAACCATGTGTAAGGCAAGGTCTGGGGAATCTGATGTCCTCTTCTGGCCTTCACTTCCACCAAGCATGCAAGTGCTGCACAGACAAAACACCCACAAACAT